GTAGACTTATGTGGAAAAAAAAACGGAACCTAAGCTCACGTGGAGATCGAATCGCGCGCTTGAAGGTCAATCAAATTTCTTAGCGCGCACAGCTTGGATTGACGCTCGCTCTGTACGGTGAGTTACGTAGACGTTTAATAGAAGATAAATTTCCCTTTTGTTTTAAGTCTTTAGTAATTTTTGCATCAATTAGAGACTGAATGTGCGTAACCACACTTTATGCATTTTAATCAGCCTCTTTTCATACGTATGCGTGACCTTATCATGTCAACGACTTTCGGGCAAACTGGGGGTTCTTCACGAATCACACAGTGGAGACGAAAGCGCGATCATAAGAGGCGATTGTTATCTGACATAGAAGGACTGCTTACAAATTTACATGCTGAAAATTAAGGTGAGGTTTCTTACATAATAGTTTTTATTGAAGTGGTTTCAGAATATTGCTGAAGTTCACCCAAAATAGTATCCAACTTGGTAAACGATTACTGCCCCAATAATCTACGTATACCTCAGGTCTATTCAGCGCTTGATGAATGAAGTTCGTTAGCTGTGATTGAGTAAGTTAGTGAAACTCAATCAATTATTAGAAAGCGGTACGCCATTGCCATCCTATAGCTATGTGCCGCCACCCAACCTTGGTAAATCGTTTACCGCGTGGATAAATCGCTGTTTACAAAAGCTTGAAGGTATTGATATCCAGTAGTAAATGACAGTTTATTCGTAGGCATCCAAACTGATTACACAGAAATTGAGGTTAAACAGGAAGCTGAGGTATCTACTCGGTCGGTTCCAAGGCGAATAGCAATAGAAGGTGAATTTTCGCCAAAAGTTATCGCTGTTTTGTTAAAGTGTTGGAGATTTGATGTCACTGAGGATCAGCTGGCATTAATGGGTACTCCACGTGGAACACCAATGAGGAAAATTGCCGGTGGCAGCTATCTACACTTTGGTCTTGAGGAGTGTCCTCAGTGTGCAATGGATGTGATGGAATCCCCAGATTTGAAGTGCATTTATCTGCAGCTACATGCCGACGGTTTGTCTCCGTTCAGGAACTCTATCGTTCGATTGTGGCCTATATTGGGACGCACTATGAAACCATTATTCCGTGTTTTTTTGGTTGGCTTGTTCTGTGGTATGTCCAAGCCCGGAGATGTACATAAATACCTCTCGGAAACCATTGAGGCGTTGGGTCAACTGACATCGACCGGTGTACGATTACAAATGAACGCAAAATTGGTTAAGGCGATTCTGCATAGTATACTCTCAGATGCCCCGGCAAAAAGTTACATCAAGCAAGTCAAACAGCTCAGCGGTTTATAAAGCTGCTCTCACTTTACTTCCAAAGGTGCGTTTCACAATCGGAGACTGTATTTTCCCAAAACTAAAGGGCGTCAGAGCTCGGACGCTGACTTCCGTTCTAGACGACAAGAGAAGCCCCAAATTGGTGTTTCACCATTTGAGTTGTTGAATATTGACGTGATCAATCAGTTCCCGATTAACTATATGCACGCTGTGTCTCGGGCTAATGAAAAAAAATTATAACACTATGGAGACGGGGAAACGCAGTAATATGAAATCCAATTTCAGGACCGCTTCTCAGGATTGTAGATGAACGTAAAGTGACCATTGGAAATCACATTTCATGTGAATTTCTGCACATTTGCGTGCCGTTGACTGACTATGGAATGTGGAAAGCAACAGAATTCAGGAAGTTCCTCTTTTACATTAGCCCCGTAGTGCTAAGGGGAATACTATCTCCAATGTATTGTAATTTTATAAACTTCTCGGTGTTTGATGGCATGTTTGAAGTGGTGCAATTGTTACGTGGACTTCATTGAGCGCAATGCTTCGGTGGTAGTTGAAAACTACACGCGTCTTTATGAGGAACAGGTGGCGATTTTGAATGTCCATTCCTGGCTCCACCTACCCACAAATGTTTGACCGTTGGGATCGTTGGATACGTTTTCAGCGTTTACATACAAGTCTTTCATGCAAATAATACAACGAACGATAACCTCCAAAAAGGCTGTTGCTCAGCAGGTGTTCCGTAGGACGTCGGAGCGAGCCGCAGATGCAATACCGTATTGCCAAATACAACTGTTAGATGATACTCGAAACCAGCGGGTTAGACGTTTGCCACGGTCCGTTAACATAATTGTCATTGATGGGACTGTATACACGGGTAAGTGCCCTGAGAACGCTGGTTTGGTTAGCAACCGTTCGTCTGTCATCAAACTGATAAGCGGTGAAAATCTGTTGATTTTATCGTTCGTAAATGTGAATGACTACTACCTGAAATCGCTGCCTTCTTCCCACGTCAAAATTTTCTGATGTAGCAGTGTCCAAAATCAATACCGCACCGTCAAAAGTAATGACATACAGTGTAAAGGTCTACTGCTCCCGGAAGAAGACGATTGGGTATTCATCCCGCTGATACATACTTGGAGAAAAACCAGGTGAGATCAATTGCTAATGGTTGTGTCTTTCTACCACATGTTCTGACTACATAATAATAATAATGATAATAATAATGACGGTATATTTCGCGAAGCCCCCAAAGCATGCTAGCGCGTATGATCAAAATGTACAACATATTGGAAGAAAGCAGTGAGCTATCCTCAACGGATGCTACTGTTTGCATTCAAGTGTCTGATAAGAGGCAACGGTAAGTACATTTTTTAATAGTAAGCATGTTCTTAGGAAAGGAAAACGTTTTTCATCTGATTCAAGCGATTCAGATGAACGTCCGATCAAATTCAAGCCGTTGGTGGATTTAGATGATACACTACCACCACCCAGGATATCGCCACAGCAGGATTTGATGGAAAAAGACCCAGAAATACCTAAGCCTATGAGTTTAGGTATGCGTACCAATACCTGTAATTGCTTTCAGCTTCCAATTGTCATCAACATCAATTTAGTGCTGCACCCCGATATCCGTATCAACACCAAAGGGGAGGTAAATGGTGATTTTTAATTATATCGTTTTTAGTCGTAAATCGAATGATTCCAAACTGCCAAACGCGGACAGATTGTGTGTGGAGTTGCCAAACATTTCATAATGTTTGTAAACGTTATACAATAACTTCAAGTCAATGTTAGGTAAGACTAATGATCCATTTATTTATTTTTCTCAGGATGCCAGGAGAAAGTAGTACAGCTATTAACTGAGGGATGCATCAAGATGGAAAAAAAAGCTGGACCTACTAAACAATCAATTGCCACAGGCAGAAAGCACAAAATCAATTCCGGTCGCCGTTCCCATCAAATCCATTGAGGATTTCAAATTTCTGGAAAATCAATTAAAAGATAAGAGTATATACGAAGAAGTGGTAATCAAAACAGTCTCAATGGATAGTATCATTCAGTTACAATATCTATCTAAATTTGGAGGTTATTCGTCAGCTGATTGCACACGTAATACCTTGAAGAGACTGATATCGGACAACCTGCTGGCTGAGAGCAACTGGCGAGGTGTTAACGGGAAAGTACCGTTTGCCAGCACAAAAATTTGCAAAATTATCATCGGTAAGCCAATGCAAATCGGTTGCTTTGGCCGCATTTTACAGACGCTGTTCTACAAAACATTATCCGGAAACAACATCACATTCCGTGATATCCAGAATCCAGAGATAGATTCAGAGATGCAGACCAAAGTTCAGGCTATATGTGGTAGAAAGTAATGCTGCTAACAACGCTAACAGAGGTGAGCTCATTTTTAAAAATGAATTTCAATTGCATATTTCAAGCAACGGTTTAAGATTGGCTATAACGATAATTTCTGCTTTCCATTTCAGATATTGAACAGTCAGACAAAGATTGAGTCGTTGGATGAAGATGAAAATAATTTCTGTAAATATGTTTCTTTTGAATAAAATATTCGTTAATCTCCAATTGTTGGTTTATTTCATTGCGAAATATAAAAGGGGTCTTTGGATTGCGGAAGAGTTAAAGTTGGGATACATTTACGTTCGGGATGTATGGACAATGTCGGAAAACAGCTGGTAGATGAAAAGATTTAGTAGTAGATGAATACGGTGTGACAAATATGACGTCGAAGTAGAATCGGGAACTGGGGAATATAAAAACGGTCTGTGGTGCTCTGTATTTCGAGTGTCCCCCTGAGTGTCACCTTCTAGTTTCACTTGGGAGTCCGCTAGGGTATGCTTAGGGGACGCTCGTGGGCATCCCATTGGTACTCTCAGGGAGACACTCGTGCTCCCTGGGTATGATAGACATGGATAAAACACTTTCACAAGCCGAAATGCTAGGTATCATACAGGAACAAGCCTTAGAACTAGAGAAGCTGAAGGCTGAAGTGAATACTCTCGGTGACCAGGTTGCCAAACTCCACGCCCTCATGTTGAACTCCCAAGGTCACTCGGCGGCGGACCAAGAAATCAAAGTCTCCGAGCAGCAAATACTTGATAGAGCGAGATATAAGCAGACCCAACTGCTTCGAAAAAGTTATATTCTGGAGATATTTCTCGAGCTCCTTAACCCCTCAGGAAATGACGAAGTTAATCTTTAAACATCAGGATACGACGGTTTTCAAACCCGGCAAATGCTCGTGGCTTATTTCAAAGACAACAAATACTCCCCACGGCCTCGTAGTAGATATGGGCTCCCCTTTTACAACCCGTAAGCTCACCACGTTTGCTCCATCCCTAAAATGATCCTGCAAGGTACCCAGATGGGTGTCGGTTGATAAACTGCTACACCTTAGGCTCCCTGTTGCAAAGCAGAACACCCTCTATTACCCCTCGACAGAATCCAAGCTTCTCCGAAATGCCTTCGTACCGGTCATATGTCTGGAAACTGATTTAATCCACACAGAGCCCATCTCACCCGAAGTTTTCCCTCTGACAGTAGTCTGACATTCTGACAGTAGTCTGCCTCAGCATGAATTTTGTTCCAGATACGGTTGGCTAGGGCCTGTCGAAGGCTTATGGTCCAAACCCACAATGGAGAATTTGTCCCCGGCAGTGGTTGTTGGGCACGGCTGTTTCCACCGTTTTGTCTGCATGCGTCCGCATCCCGGAAAACGTATGAACTCGCTGTAATCCTTCCTATTTATTCTTATCCTTGTGAATCCATTTCCCCCGTCTATTGTCCTACATTCTGTCTCTCCGTATCTTCTCCCCTCGATAACGGGTTAACAATTACTTCAATTTCGATTGATATACTTATACAGCACATTCTTCCATCCTCCACACCTACGTTTGTGACCTCGTCCCCTTTGTGTTCCGTTTACACAGCGTTTTCGTTCTGCTCCCCTAACATCTGCAGTATGTACGTCTTCCAAGTAGACTATCTATATACCTGTCTGTCGTTGTACATATGATTATTTTGAACATATGATCATGCCTTGTGCATGATTCACGGGCTTCGGGAACTTTACATTATAATTATTATTATTAGACCAGTAGCATGCAACTCGGCGAACATAAGTGTATGTTCTGCGCATGCAAAGATCAACTGCAGAGAAAAGACGTCGGTGCTTATGGTCCCCGGGACCACAAACCAGAGAAAGAAAACCCGGCCCAGAGCGGTCAACGTCCCCGGATCCCCTCGTCCTGGAAAATAACATAGTCGAGTTCGCCCGTCCGTGAAACCTTCACCCTTCGTGCACGTAGGTGTCCATCCAACTCCTACCCTCTCTTCGCCTCATGATGAGCAAATTTTTGAATACTTTTATTGCAACTCCTAAGCCTCCCCAATCAGATTCGAGAAATAAGACAGCTTGCACTAGACAATAACCTAGACTTTTTACTACTGACAGAAACCTGGCTCGCGGCGGACTTCGTCGATGGCGAAGTAACCATTCCAGGCTATTCCTTTATTAGAAAAGACTTTGCCCGCGGAAGAGCAGGATGGGTCAGAATTTATTCTGAGCACCATCTCCCCCCTCCAATTTTCATAAACACCGATCCTGTTCCTCTCATAGATAGCCTGAGTATGTGTTTTCAGCTATCTAGGTTGATCAACTTCTTGAAGTGCTTAGTCTATCGCCCACCGCAATCCAGTCTGCCAGACCAGTTTAGGTCTGTCACGGAAATTTGCCAACATTCTCACCTTCGCGTGGTACGGGATTTAGATCGTCCAGGTATAAACTGGCAAAAGACGTTCTCGACTGACGTCTCCTTCTGTCACCCTCTTACTGACCTCCTAGTCGAGAAATCCTGGACGCAGCACGTGTCTTTTCCAACCAGGTTCCAACAAGGACCTACCCCATCTTTACTAGACCTAGTCATCACCAATGAAAGACACCAGGTTGATGTCATTAACCAGTTTTCCCCTCATGGTAAAAGTGATCAGGT